TCGGTTTTTGGACGCCTGAGTGGTCGGCCGTCTCGACGACGTCTGTCCCGCCGGTCACGGGTTGGACAGCCTTTTGCTGTTTGTTTATTACATGTCTTTTGATTTCTTTCACTTTTTCGGCGTCTTTTCGGTCGGCAACCGATGAGTGATGTCTTCGGCCGCACTTCTGGACACAGTTTCGGATAATAGAGACGGGTTTTAAGGCCGATATCCGCCACAAAAGCATGTCTTCGAGTTGTGGTGTTTGCGGTCACAACGGATCCAATGGTTTTGCTTTATATAGAGGTTTGTCTTCGGGTGACAGAGAATTTTATTTTGTAACGTTTTTAATATAATTTGTTAATTACTACAAATGTAACAAAAACTTTAGCATAAATTATAATTTAATTGACTTCATTCAAATTAGTACTAATACATAAATATGTGGAACAAATATTATAATTATACATGTTAGAAACTATTTGTTTTATATAACAAACTATAGATTAAGACAGGAATATTGATAAAAGAACAAAATGAAAACTCACGTTTTATTTTAATATAATATTGAGTAAAATGTAATGAATATAATAAATGGACTGAAAGTTTGTGTTTAACGGCAAAAATGATAAATATTTCATTTTCAACGAAAAGACAATACAATAAGTGGTTCACAAGAAATGCGTTGAATTTTAGCCGCCATTTAGTTCTGTGGGTTAGAGTTGTATACAGTGTTATGTAAAGTTGTGTTCAATTCTTGAAAGTAATAAAAATTGTCAAAAAAAATGTTTGAATTTATGGCCGAATGGGAGGAGAATATGGAGAGGAATGGACTCACTGTTGAAACTCTTGTTTCCAGCCTTACATTCAAACCCATTATATATAATCATTTTAAACTACATTTACAAAAAAGTCTATTTCGAAAATATTTTAATAAAATTTCGTACAATTTATTCAACAAAATATTGACAATAAATGAACGCAAATTCGTTACACTTCTTCCATAGTTTTCAAATGTTATCTAAAATCTGTATAAATTACCACAAAATGTGTTGCATTTCTCAATCCAATTGTATAAATAATTAACAAAACAATAATTTAAAAAATTAGAGCCAATTTACAACTAAATTAAAACTTTATTCAAATAAATTTCACTACAATTTCATTACATGTATTCACTTAAGTACGCGAAACGTGCCGACCGTCTCGTCAAAGAGTTTAGGCCTCAGAAACTGGCCTTTCTTTGTGTCCAATATATAGTAAAACCATTTGCCCTTCACTTTGATGGGCATAACTCCGCCGTCACTGCGGGACACGTGTGAGGACACACTCGTGAGGGGGACGTCGTAATGGCGGTACCGATTGGGAGCGCCCGTCACCGAGAAAGTGGTCAATCGGACGGTATGTCCGCCGGGCGCCAGAGTCACGTACCGTATGCTCCGTATGGCGTACGACGACAACAGTATCATCGATAAGTGGCC